GGGGGGGGCAATGGGGGGGGGGGGGAGAGAGAGAGAGAAGGACAGTATGGCCAACACTTAATATCATCAGATCCTCCTCAGAACTAAATTGTTGCCATTATAACCAATGGATTGTTTCAGAGGTTTGCAAAAGGAGAAATATTTGGACTTCATATTCACTTTGGGAATAGATTTCAGGAGGAATTTGCCTCAGTCAGACTGGCCCCTATCATCTTTTGCTTGAAGCTGAGTGTGTGCATATTAAAAAGCAACTCATGGCCTCATACTGTCCATCCTCTTGCAACTCAGAAAGAAAATGATTTCTGTAATCAACTATTTTATTGATGGTTTATGAAGACTACTACAGCAACAGAAGGCAAAGAGTATTCTGGAGGAGATAACGCACCAGAATTGACTACAGTCAAACAGCAAGTCCTTCAAGTCCAGAGGACTGAAAAAGACTTCATAGACTGACGCTGAAACCTTACTTTGTGATACAGCCTTAGAGTTTTCATTTTGGTCTTATGGACTAGGGAAACGATGGGTAGGATGGTCGCAGAAGAACTGGGGCCAGAACTTCGTAAAAGTATTGGTAGAGCTGAGTAGAAGGGCTAGGGAAATACAGCTGCCTGTCTTTTGAAGTCTAGTTGCAGAGTAACCAAGACATACCAAATTCTGGTTTAGTTTTGATTGAAAAGTGAACGCTTACTTTTGGACAAGGTCAGTAAGACCAAGGACTGTGGCTGAAAGACGGCAGTTTAGTCTACAAGACTTCTGTGACTCTGATTCTGGCCAAATCACAGTTTTGGGCTTCTGTACTTGTGTAGGAAGGACACTCATTACACCAGTTCCTTAAAGCACACAGTTTCACACCGATTCTTGTCCATCAAGAGCTTTTTACTCCCCTGACTATAAAGTTTCCTTGGCTGATACACTATCAGTGGAATCACCCCGTCCTGTTAATCCCCATATGACACAGGGTGGCAGCAAGACAAACTTGATCACACACCAAAGCAGCTCGGCCAATGCAGCAGAACAAATGCTATAGTGCAACTAATTCAGGTGCAGTGGGAACTGTCCGTACAGGAGTGAGTAACCTTGGCAAGTTGAAGGAAACAGCAAAAAGAATAGGTATCTTACATTATGTCTCATTATGAACAATAACAATCAACAACTGGGAAAAAAAAAGTTATCAGACAGTGTAGCAGCTACCTGAAAACAACCTCTACTTTTCAGGAAACATTAGTGTAAAGAGCAAAATTTTGTTTTCTGCCTCTTTTATATATTGCAACACACCCATCCTAGGGCTTAACTACTGGCTGTCTTGGGTCAGTTAGCAGGAAGTACTGGGAACAATCACCATCTCAATATGTTAGCAGTGAGGCACTTACTGTGGCTGCCAACAAGCTGAGCTCAAAGTGGCAGCACGGATTATAAACCCCAAAAAATTTCAGATGAGGTTTTGGAAGGGGGACATCTTTCACAGTCTGGTTTCAACATTCCAGGAAAATGCAAAGTTTTTTTGGGGAAAAAAAAAGGGGGGGGGGGGAGAGAAAGAAA